GGGTCCGGTATTTGCACTTCCTTTGGTTTGTTCCCCTCAGCGTGCACAGCCGTACTGCCAAAGCATATCAACAGCACGCAGAGGAGCTGCACCGAAAAAGAAAACAGATGACGGCACATGTTGGATCGTCGCTGCTCACTCATTCTTTTCCTTCCCTCGTTGTGGTGCATCCGCTCAGGCCGCGACGATTGCGTGTGTGTTTGCGTGTGTGTTGCTGGTGGTGACTGCAGAACCTTTCAATGTGCACAGCAGCAAGTAGCGTTTGGTCTCTTTCCTTCCAAGTGTGTAGACAAAGTAAATTGAGAAAGGCAAAATGGCAGTGAGGCAAAAGAGCAAACAGAATGAAACAATGGGCACTATCTGCAGTCACAGTGAGCCAATACATCGTCATTGTCCCCGCAGTCACTACGCTTGTAGCGCCTCCCAGTAAGATAGCAAGCAAACAAACAAGTAAGAGTTAAATCAACGGAGTGAGCACACTTCCAATGGGGAGACTGCGGACTGCAGCCTCCATAAACACGGCAAATGACAAGGAGGCTGCGAGGGCAGTCAAGAAGAGTAGAAGTACACGGTGCTCACTGCCCACCAAGGAAAAGAACAACTGAAGTGCGGTTTGCACTGCCTTGCCACAGCAATGCGGCATCCCGTTTAGGGCTATCGACACAACCCAATGCCTCGTCTGCACTGAGAGCTGCCTCTTCTGCCAGACAATAATATAAAGAATAGATTCAGCAACTAAAAAGTGAGAGGCCATCTCCACCTGCTTCGCAGAGTTGGATCGCGCCGCGATGCATGCATGGTGGCAGCTGCATCCGCATAGATGGCAATCGCATTCTATGGCGTCATGGAGAGCAGTGAATGTGCACAGCCTTTGTCCTCCCCTCTCCCTCCATTCTTTTTCCCTTTTCTCCTTGAACAGACATGGCAGCCGTGACATAAGCACCTACACGCCAGCAGGCATCTGTGCTTCGTTGTTCCTTTCTTTCCTCTCGCACAGCAGCCCCACCCACCCCAGCTCCCCTCTCTCCCTTGCGGATTATCTTCAAACAACCTTATTTTTTTACTGTCATCCAACCACCTCTGCAACACCTGCTGCCCCGTTAGGCTGCGCTCACACCGCACCCACAGTATTGTTCATTGGCGCTATTGTTCTTCGGAAG